GCACAGTCTGCTCCCTCTTTTTATGAGTTTGTTATTCTGGGTGTCATCCTTTACTGATTAGTACATGTGTCACTGTTTTTATTGGTCCTTATTTTGGCAGAGGCGGTTTCTTTGTATAATTCTGCAATGACCACTGTCCACACTCTGGCAATCACCTCCCAGGCTAGAGGTACTAAGATTTAATCAAAAAAGTACAAAAGGTGCGTTTACTTACAGTGGGTGCTTCACCAGTTTGTTGATTATTTAATTTAATTTTGAGTAAATGACTAAGACTCAATGTGTTTCTCATATTAGAGAGACTATTCTAAAACCTGTAGACAAAGGTCACCAAGATAAACAGGAAGGACCTGTGATTGTGTCAGCAGAATATTTCCCTGCACAATGCCTGTTTTTTTACACCCAGTATAACAAACCCTTTTCACATATGTTTTATTGTAAATATCTCACAGTAATCTACTTTTTACTTGACTACATTTACCATTTATACCTTTGTTACAACTAGTCTGCCCTTAAATGCATGGATTAAGTGTAGGGGAAGGAGCTCCTCTACTGCAGATGCCAAGTTGCAGCTTCTTGAAACAAGAAAAATAAGCTCCACCTGTCTTTTGATCACAATGCAGCCTATGCAGCAGCTACATGCAAAAATAGTAAAATGGTGCACATTCCAAAAAGTGCACAGAACTTCACAATAAACAGCACAAGCTACTGTACTTTGCTTACCATATGGTTGTACTCCACACCACATAAAGAGTAAATTAATGGCAGGTAATCCATCTGACATATAATTGCTGAGTTTCTCCTTTGCACTGTGTATGCCTGTTCCACTGTGTTGAGAATGTGTGTCTTGATAGCAAAAGGTCGGTCAAGCCCCACAAGGTACTGTGCACATGCTTCATAGTGTAATTCTTTATTTGCAGCAAAGTTCGTCTACAGATCCTTAGTCAAAGGTCTTTGTGGTCATTGGGCGTTGGCTCTGGAAGATGTCCAGAAGCTGAATGATTACTTTGCACTCATCATAAAAGCACTGGTACAGCACCGTCTTGCTGCCACGGCAGAAAAAGAAAAACAGATCAGTATCACATTACTACATTTTAACTTGTAAAACTTTTCACGTTATAACAAGATAAATAGTATATTGCTATAACATGGAGAATGGTAGCACTTCTCTACGAAAACCATGTCTGCAAGGTATGCCAGGATCCTTCCAGATTAATCCTTCTCCAATGATAGAATAATCATGTTTAGTACACATCGCCCCTCTACATCTGGTGGTGAATCATAACGGTTCTGTTATACTGCTGTTTTTTGTATTTATCTTTAAGCTGGTGAAAAGCTGAGAAGCAGCCCAAGAGAGACATGAAAGTGGGGAGAGAGCAGGGATCACATGCAGCATATGGTGGTGTACCCTGCTTGGACCTAGTGCAGACCCTGTACTGGCCTTTGTCACTAACTCTTGGACTTTACTTCAGGGTGTTCCACTGGTGTAAACTTATGCAGTAACAGAATCTGGATTTATATTTGATCTGCACTGCCTAGTTTGACAGTCTGATCTGAGTTTGGTGCGTTGCGCTAGACGGACTCACTGACAATGACTCGTCAATCACAAGGTAGCTGTGCCCTAAAGCATACCCTGCTTTATCCTCTATTTTACTCTAAATTGGACCATAATTTACTAAATGAACATCGTGCTGTTTGGAAGAAGACTTAAAACTAGAGATTGAGACCATAAACTCATTAGGAAATTGTTTACAGAGCTAACAAATCAAGTGAGAGTGTAGGGTAATGTCTCCATAAGGCTTCACTTCACAGACCCGGAAGCTCTGTCCATACTGTCAATAGTTCAAGCCTTAATCCTTTTGCGTCATTACTGACAGCTGTAGAGTTGCATAACAGTAATGTTTGCATCTATAAAATACAACACATTGCATTGTGGGATTGTTAGCTTATGTTTCTGCTGTCATATCAGTGCTGTAAAAGTGCATTCCTAACATGGTAATTAAAATATTATGTGTTTCATTGTTTCAAAGGAGGTTTTGGAGACTCACTTTACAGTTACTTTATAATTACCACTGATATAAGAGTCAAAATGAATCCGCCTTCTTGTACATTATATCCAACTGCAAATGTAGCCTCATATTTTCTCACAGTGGTGCTGTGGCTTGGTTGTATAACTGTCTGTCTGGTAAACAGAAGATCACAGGTTTGAATCCTTGTGGTTTCTGTTGATCTGTTAATTAGTTTACTGTCTCAATTGTGAAATCTTGACATTAATCTTTGTAGCAGTTAGTGTAGGTCACTGTGTGTGTTGCAAGATATCTGACAGTATTATTCAGTTCCAATGGGAGTTAAAGGTCCAGTGTGTTTTTAGGAGGCTCTGCTGTCAGAAATGAAATATAATATTCATGGTTATGTTTTCATTAGTGTAGAATTGTAAGAAAGTTGTGTTTTTGTTACCTTAAAATGAGTCGTTTTATCTACAGAAGGGGCGGGTCCTCTTCTACAGCGTCTGCCATATTGAACAGCCATGTTTCCATAGTAGTCACAAGGGAGTTGTGATCTGCAACCACACCGATAGATGTCACCAGGCCATGCAACAGAGATGACTGGTCCCCTGAAAAGGTCCACTGATCCCCAGATCTGCTTTACTCATATCAACACATGCATATTGTGGGCCTCTATGGACCGTCCTAGTGGCTGGGGTACAGAAAGCTTTCCCCTTTCCCCCCTTATGGGCGGCCCTGGATGGCACTAAATCCTATAAAGTGGAGCCATATTTCACTGGGTGCCCCTTTATGACAGGTACAATGTGTTCCATATAATACAGGGAGTTTATGTAACATTTGAAAGAAGACATGGAACATTCATTCTCTTACAAATGAAAAGTTTAACTCATAAGCTACAAGACTCTCCCTTACTCAATTCAATATACTTTGGGTTTTTGCTGCTACAGCTTTACTTGGTCTGGTATGTGCGGTAGCTTATGGTGGCTAATGTTAGCAAACTTCAGATATTACGGTGAAACTCACATTATTGAATACTTTATGACTACTCTTTACTTGTGTTATTGTTATGTTACATTTTAGCATTTACCATTATCCCTGAATTACTTGAGGCAATGGTGGCCACTGTTCAGCTAAAGTTAGTCTTGTTTTGATAAATGTATTTTGGTCGGTTTGGTAGGGCCGCACAATTGTTTAAAATGTTATTGAAATCAATATGATCAAATGTAATATCCAAATCACATAAGCTGCAGTGTTTTGAAAAAGGTAAACTGTGTGACACACAGCATTATAATGAAATACTGTAGTGCTGCAAAATGCCCTGGCCTACAAATCTTGCTCTCCAGATGTAAGAAAAACATGTTCAGCCTGTGAAGAGTGAAAATTACCTTGGCGAAACCCACAAAAAACATGATGGGCTACTGTAGAAACATGGCGGTTCAATATGGCGGATGGGAAGGCGTTCAATTATTACTATGAATAATTCCATTTCTGACAATAGATCATCCTAAATGTTACACACTTTGGACCTTCACAATGCTAAAAAAATCAGGAACAAAAAAGAGACTGTGTATGCTTGTGTGATAAAAGCTGAGCATTAACAGAAAAACAGAAAACATATCTTTGGTTTTGTGATTTTTATTGTAAATGTGTTTTACGTAAGAACAAAAGCAAAAATATAAGATTTTAAGCAAATCTTTCTTTGTAATGTGTTTACAGAGCACATAAGTTACTCATCATGTTTCATAATACATTTATGCTATATTGCAATTTGCACCTCACAAAGTCGGTGTGCAAGTCAAGAAAATGCATGGGGGGAAATGTATTATAAATTCCAATCTATGGATGTAGTATGAAACTTTTCATGAGCCTTTGAATAATGTGTTGTGTAAAAACGTGACAAAAAAAGTAAATCACCATATTTTTCACTACATATTTGAATTATCATGTTCTGTACATATTTTTAGAAAAATCTTTCACAATCACAGAAATCACTAGAAGAATATTAAAGTTCTCCTCTCAGATGCATATACAGTATTTACATACATTCGTGGGCTCACATATGACACCCATTCAGAAAAGCATTTCTTCTCATCGTATGGAAGGAATGCCTGACGCAGATTACACACTTCCTCCATGCAGCGTCTCGTTCAGGTGCTGTTTGCTGAACACTCAAAAGGTTTGTTGATCGTTGAAGGTTTCAGCAAATCAAACACTTCCAAAAAAACAACTCAGTTCCAATTCAAACTTTAACATTCCGTAATTCAAACTATTTCAATAGCTGATCCTTGACTTTATGGCACAGGTAGCCATCTCTGGACTCTGTGCAGTTTGCATTTTGACTCATTTGGTTTAATTCAGATGCAGAATGACACACACTAAAGCAATCTATACAGATAAATGTAATATGACAAAATAGCAAAACAGTCACTGTTCCCTTACAGTACAAGACAAAGGCATCTCACTTTATGGCAAGAGATTTGATATGTTGAAGACAAGGAGCAGATAGTAGTGTTCCTTAAATGCTCTTTGATTTTCTATTAGCCTTAAATGAAGCATAAAGACTCCCTATGAGTTTTTTATGTGCTGTAATGGAACACATTTCCAGTCTCAACAAATGGGCAACATCTGTAATTTGATTTTGAATTTGATATGCAAATCATTTCATTTTTAATTTAATGAAATACATTTTTGGAAGCAAGACGACAAACAAACTTGATTTGGCAAGAGAAGAGGCTTCAAGAGGAGCTAACAGAGCCATAGTTTACTTGATGACTCTTTAAGACATAGAAACAAAATATTCCTTATATTAAAGCGAGTCTATGTACATTTTGAAAGAGGCCATAGCACATCCATTCCTTAACAAATGGAAAGTTGAATTCCTAAGCAATAAAATATTAAATTCAATACACTCAGACGTTTTTCTGGTATGGCCAATAGATTATAGCGGCTAATGCTACCTTCACTTCTTGCTAACATTCACTGACTTTGTGTCTGTTCTCTACTTGTGCTACTGTTAGGCTAAGTTTTACCATTCTGGCAGTCCGTTCTATGCATAGGGCCGCTGTTCAGCAAAAGTTACATAAGCTCGCTTTAATACATTTATTTTGGTGCTCTGGGGCGAATTCTTTATTTCATTTTGCAACGGCGCACAATTCCAGTCTCAATAAATGGTACAAAAAAAATTTGATATGTAGAACTTAATCTGTATTCAACTGAATCAGTGGAAAGAAAAGGGGGAAAAACTTGATCTGGCAGGAGAGGAGGCAAGAGATTTGATATGTTCAAAACCAGCCTTTCTTTGCAACTCTTAGTGATGTGAATTTACCATCTTGTTTTATACTACTTATTTTTTTACAGCAGTGACATGAAGTAAATAAAGTGGCATAAATAAATTAAAGATGTGGCATCACATAAGATCAGGATGCCAGAAAACAAATGCTGAGTTATATCAAGAGCTGAAGAACAGACATGCTTCTCTAAATACTTTCTTTCATCCTTGACTTGAAGTATTTTGTGGGTAATCATTGCATGTAGCTACACCCTCAGTTGGTTTTGATCCAAAAAGGCCATATGGAAAATGTTGTATATGACAAATATTCTGATAATCTGTCTCTTGTACAGATGAGACAAAAGGGTGTTAGAGAACAGTGAAACAATTCAGACCAACTACACAAAATACTTCAAATACTTTGAATGGGGAGACGACCAGAAACTATTGTGTGCCAGTGCAAATTACATGGTGACATGATCTTTGTTTGAGGGCAGTAATTCAACATGAACTTGAGCTTTGTTATTGTGTTTTTTCAAAGACACTTATTCAGAGCTAAAGGAATGTTTGCCGACAATTGATAGATAATTAAACCAAGGCCCCGACAGTTCCCAAGTAGGCTCTTGCTGTTCAAAATTCAATCAAATTCAAGCCATTAAGCGGTGAGTTTTTGTTAATATTACTTTTAGACAACATTTGGCTCTAGGAAGGTAAAAAAACTGGGGTTTTTAAATAATAGCAGACCCCTTAGTGATGCAGCTTTTACTGATATAAGGCTTTTGACTCCAACAATAATAATAACATACACCTCAAAGTGTAAAAATACTCTGAATAGCAAATATTTCTTCAAATTAGATTAGCTAAAAGATTTGAGTTGGACAAAAAAAAGTAATATACAAGAAGCTTATTCCACCTGTGAGGGTGTTGTGTCAAGTAACAGTTTTCTGTTTTAGTTTAGTTTTTACAGTCTTTTCCTCGCCACCCAATAAATTATCACAGTACCATGAATGTACGTCACACGTACATATTTGAACATAAACACACACACAAGCTCAAAAGTCCTGCACAGACTCCTTTAGAAGGTGTTCGGACTTTCACCCCCCTCCTATGTCTTCCGTCACACACAAATACACGCACACAGCCCCCTGCCCTCTGCTTTTTAACGTCAGTCCGTCAGAGTGGGGTCAGAGGGGTCAGTTTGCAGAGCGTCCTGTCCTGCTGCTTCGTGGAAAGCGGTGGACTTTGAGGTGTTTCGACAGGTGATCGCTGCGGGCAAACTTCTTCTCGCAGACGATGCACTGGTATGGTTTCACTCCAGAGTGGGAGCGGCGGTGTCGGGACAGCTCGTCGGACCGGGAGAACCTGCCAGGAAAGAAACCCAGGACGTCATTCATCAAACTGATCAAATATTTAGGACATTAAGCATCTCTTTAATAATGTTGTCTGTTTTATCCCTAATCACAAATGTCAGTTGAAAGTCAGTAATGTCAACTTCACAAAGTTAAATTGACAGTCTCTCTATTTTTTTCCTTTTGTGCATAAACCAACCAATCAGTTTGTTTACACCACTTCCTATACAAAAATAATGACTGCAGTCATGCTTCAAGCTGCCAAATAACAGAAAAGCCATGTCAAGCTGTTTTATATGAGGGTAATCTGAGAGGTGTGACCCTATACATGTGTATTGCCCTGCGTCTTCTCTGTGAAGTTAAAGAGCCGTTCCATTTTTAGCTCAACACATGAGCACCGCAAATCCAAGCTCAGTCTATTCCTGACCTGCTCTGCCCTGGGTATACTGGCTCCGGCCAGCTTGGATATCACGCTAGTGAAGGGTTAAGTGGATGATAGAGTGGCACCTGTTGTATTTGTGTGTGTGTGTGTGTGTGTGTGCGTTTATCTGTGTGTGTATCTGTATATATTAGTAAAGCTGTTAAAATCTGATTAATCTGTAACACAGATTGATTTCCAGAAGCAGCAGAGGCAGGCTGAAGGCATGAAGGCGATAATTCAGAGATGTATAAATGTCACTCACAGTTATTTCAAACCATTTCCACTTTACACATTACACAACTGGCCTATTCATCATTTTAATGGCCCAGTAATAAAAAGAAACTAACTGTCACAGCTTATAAAGCTAAGCTGCGGCATCTGAAAAGCTAAGAAACTCAAAACAAACAATTCAGACTTGATGACTCATTTAGTTGATTGTTCCGTATTGAGATCTTTTTAACCTGCATCTCTGCAGTGAATTGTGACTTGGTCTATCGTCAGATAGCAGTGACTGTTACACATTTAAGCCATATCTGAACTCTTACATTACAGTTGGTGACCCTGCATCTATTTGCAATTCTCATTCAAAAATGTGCTACACGTTTTTTTTTTTCCTGACAGCAGCAATGTCTGTTGCAGAATAATGTCAAGTCTGTTCTATGAGTAAAGTAAATTAAAAAAATTTGAGATGTGATTGAACAATAATAAAAATAATTCAATAACCTGCTGTAAAATTCAATAATTTTACAGCAGGTGACAAAAGCCTTGAGGCACATATGACTTCACACATCAGTCTCTTTATGCTCTGTACTTTATATGACTGTACATTTGTTCCTTATGGTGATATGTGCGTGCACATGCACACATTACACCCTAAAGCTAAACTATCTCAGCTTTAAGCTGGGGCATGATACAAACCATGTACAGCTATTCTTCTTACTCAAACTGGGCCTGAGCCCAAATAACATACTGCACCAGGGAGGATCTTTCAACAGAACATGCATTAGGACTTATGCAAATAGACTGATTGTTCTTCAAATCCACTTTTTTGGGAAGGAAGATTGATCATGTGCCAGTTCTCTTTCACAGCCTTACCATCTGTCTCTCTCAAACTCATGCCCTCTCTTGCTATAGCTCTACCTCTATTTCTCTACTCCTCTCCTTCCTAGTCTCGGCTCCATACATCCTAGTGGTGGTGGGCGAGGTGAATGGGTTTATAGGGTGGAGGCACTTATGTGGATCACTTGATGACTGTGGTTTTTGCACCTTAAGTCCTCAGGGCGGCTTTGGCGTGGCTGCAGCACTACACATAGTGTACATATTAGTGTAGGAGCTGTGGGAAACACATATGCAGGCTTTGTTCTAGCTTGTCCTTAAACTCTGCTTTGCAGCCAACAGAGCATAGTGGAAACAGCTGAGAAAGGTGGGGCTGTTAGGTTGGTTACACACCTGGAAAATTACAATAACAGAGATACTGGCGAGCACATGTACTGTACAGTGTTTTATCTGTCATCTTTAGCTTCCTCATCTTCTTCTTGCTTAGTTTATCCTGCCAGCTCAAAGACTTAGTGTCTCTCGTCACTGTGTTTATGAGTGGCTCAGTTTCAGCTCTGTGTAAGTTGAAAGGGAAATCACATTAATGCATGGCAGCACTAATCAGTGACAGAAGTTTGCCTCCTACATTAAGAAGCTATATACAAGAAACCATAAACCTCCTTTGACTGATTTATAAAAAACGATTATTATTTTGACCAGAGGAGCTGGATTCAATCCTCAGTTTGTTCTTAAGCAGTACACTGAATCCTTTCTAGCTCCATGGAGGCTGTTTTCTACAAGACCCCAACCTTACGCACCTCCCTGCAGAAAACGTACATTCGTTTCCTAAGGTAAGGTAAGCACCCTCTCCTTGCCTGTCAATTGAGCTTAGATGCTGAATCAATCTGTGCTAGCTCCGTCACCACCCAAAAACAGTGTTCTGTTGTGACGGTGAATGCATTAGCTGACAAGGACAACAAGCCACTGCCCTGATGACAGACACCGAGCACACACACGTCACACTGTTATTACAGCAAACTGTTTGGGTTTGAGCCATCCAACGCTGAGAGTCTCCATGCAGGTCTGAGCTGAAAATACTGCACGCTCGTGTGTGCGTGTTCCCTGCATGTGTACATTTATGTGTTTACATGTGACTTTGTCTGCGCAGATCTGTGTATGAGTATAACGATAAACTACAGCCAGAGAGAGAGCGAGGGAAACAAATCCAGAAAGCTTTAAACAAGAAAACAGTTTGGCAAAGGATGAAATATAGCTTTCACTGGGTTATATGTAGGAGTCCAGCCAATGAAATACCACTCCTCTCTACTTCAGAGGAGCCAACACATGGCTATATTCTAAGGTTACGGAGGGCAAGAGGGGGCCTGACTCCCCAGCTCACCTCCATTTCCTGGCCCAGAGGGAGAGGAGCAGGGAAAGGGCAACTTTATAATACAGTATACTGCTGCTGTCATGACTGCAGCAGTGTAGTTCTGGGAGGACTGGGGGTATTATGTTTTTAGTTTAGCTAAGGAAATGCATGGTACTCAATGCCTGCAGCACAGAAAACTTATTATATGTATTCATGTGTCCGCTGAAACAACAAAGTGATGCTGCATTAAAAAGCACTACACCATTTGCACTGCATGTTTGAAAAATGCTGCTCTGGTGTTGGATATGCTCACTCCTTTTCACATTACAAGATTTCTGTGTATAAAAGTATAAAAGTTATAATATTTTGTATAAAATGTTTTCTTACATGTACTTCTAGCTGCAATTTGGGACTGCTAATTAAGTAGATTTTTATGCCAAATTAAAGGAATAGTTTAACATTTTGGATCTACGTTTTTGTCGAATTTCTTCTACCAGGACTTCTAAGTTTTTATTAATTAACAAGCCATATCTTTCCGTTTGTTTATTCCATGCACAGATTCATACACATGTTTATAAAGAAGTTGTGGTTTAACATGGAGTTATGTGCTGCAGTTACTTTCTGGAGTATCTGCTGTCTGCCTGGCAACCTCACTGTGGAGCCAGAAAGCCAATAAACACATTTTCCAAAATGTCTAACTATACCTTAAATCATCATCATCAGCTTGGTGCCAGTACACAGGCTTCCCCAGTAAATGAAAAAACAATGTTTGCATCAAGCCAGCTTTTAAAATGCATAATGATGCAACTTGTTTTGTCCAGAATAACTTCATATTACATAATATGCTTAGAAATACTTGGAGGTATGCCCAGACATTTTGCATATTGTAAAAAGTGTCAGATATGGAGAATCTCAAGGTGCATTTAAAGCCTCCTCCCAGAGTGTGGTGTTGCAGGGAAGCGTGGACCAGAACTGTCTGCTAAACTGGGCCAAACTTATCTTATTGACTCTTTCTCACACAGGCACATGTGTAGTACATTTTCTTACCTAAACATCACACAAACTCTAACCTCACCCTTGAAGGACCAGTGTGTAGGATTTAGTGGTGTCTAGCGGCTACGTTGCAGATTGCAACCAATTACCACTTGCATTCCAAGTGTGCAGGAGAAACTAAGACGGCTGTGAAATTTATGTAGAGTCTTTGTGAAACATGGCGGTTCAACATGGTGGAATCTGTAGAAGAGGACCCGCTCCCTCTGTAGATATAAATAGCTAATTCTAAGGTAACAAAAACACAACAGTTCTTATTTACAGTTCCTGCCTCTGTCCATGTGTGTACACACAAGCACACACAACACACACAAGACTATATATGCACCCTTGAGCAATAACTGTATGTACAGAGGTGGAATCCATTGGTCCACAGGTCCAAAGTTGGCATTTGTACTTACTCCAGCTTGCAACCAATGAGTCTTTAAGCATGAAACATGGAAATTAATTCTGGGTACCATCAGAACTTGTCTGAAGAGAAAAGTTTGAACTTGATCCTAGAATAATCCAGTGTATCTCTACTGCATTAATGTGTGTGTGTGTGTGTGCGTGCGTGTGTGAAGTGGTTGCAGACAGTGAGCAAACAAGTGGAATAACTAGCAGGGGCAAAGTCTGCATGCAGACAACTTCAAAAGGTGCTCTATCTAATCTACAATTTTACCATGGTACAAAAATACACAGATAGTAGGAAAACACTAGAACATAACAAATTATAACCTTCTTGAATGTTGTTTCCTTGAGGATGAGCCATTTCCCCTCCCATCCATAAACTATGTAAACTGAGCCTTTTGAATCCTCTCGTTGTATATTTAACACATTAATGTCCCCATAAAACCTTTCTCTATCCTGTAAAACAATCTCGGTGACTTTCTGGATAATGTAAATGACTTCCAACATGTTGTAGCCCTCAGAAAGGAGTTAAACATACAATAAAACAGTTTCATCCTACTGATGAAGTAAGATCTGTACTTACAGAGTGTCACAGTTTCTTCTATCTGTAATAACCCCCCAATAAAAAGCACCTTCATCACTGCTTTGAACTGCACTTTACATGACAAAAAACTGTGCAGCACTCTGTATACCTCTGTCTTCACACATTAATTTTATTACATTTAAAAGTCAATTATCAACAGCTATCTTCAAGTGTCTGTATATGAGACCACAGCGGAAGTTGATAACCCTGGTTAATGTATTCTCTATACTGTAGATAAACATATAGAACGCTTCAAAAGCAACATTTAGCTGCAACATCAAACCATTCATTCATCTCCATTCACTCAGCCTAACCTTTGATCAGATCTAGGTTGCAATGTGTGCAAATCTGGAGGCAGCAAGAATGTTCAAATATAACTCCAATGTATCTTCAACCGTCCAGTCAATGTCTGCTTTCTCTTTTGGCTTATTAATTAATCTAATCATTTGATTTTATACAATAACACTTGTTCTGCTCACCTCCATCCACAGCCGGGCCATGTGCAGGCGAAGGGCTTCTCCCCCGTGTGCCTCCTCAGATGGGCTTTTAGGTGGCTGCTCTTGGTGTACATCTTATTGCAGCCAGGAAAAGAGCACTTGTGCATTTTAATAAGGTCTGCTACTGCACTCTTCTGATACCTCTGACCTCCAGCGAGGACCCCTGCAGCTGAACCTCCGCCTAACCCACCTTCCCCAAGCCCAATGGGTTTTGCGGCAATGGGCACTGGCGCGATCCGGACAAATTTGGACGAAGCAATGCTTCCGGTTTTACTGGTGCCAGTAATGTTTGCTGGGGAAAGCAGTTGAGGCACCAAGGCAAAGGTCTGCCCCTGGATGTTGACCAGGAGTTGAGCGATTTTTATATCCGATGGGGCCTGGGTGGGCTGGGATTCGGTTGTCTGGGGTTGGGTTTGCTGGGTGACAGCATCTGATATGGCACTAGGGTTGGGTTCTTGTTTGATCTGTATGGGCTGGATTTGTAAGATGACAGGCACACTGGAGGCAGCACTGGTACCTTCGGACGAGGCTGGCGGTGAACCACAGTCCTCCTGTTTGATCCCATCAACTCTACTACTGGTAGATCTAGAACCAGCTGTACAACTAAAATCCACTGCTGATGGTGAGCTGTCCATGTCAGATGCACATGGTGTATGTTTGGTCTCTGTGTAGGAGGAGAGTGGAGAATTAGCTACAGGCACAGTCTGATCTCTGTTCTGTGACACTGATACGAGTTCTGCTGCTAATGTCCTTGAACCTTCCGCCTCAGCATCCTCTGACGTTGTTGACATTGCCTCATCGCTCCCCTCCTCTTCTTTCTCCATCGCCACCACCATGTTCTCCTCCAGGAACTCCTCAATCTCCTCCAGGGTGGGCTGAAAAAGGAGCGCCGCAGGATCCTGCAATTCATCTAGGAAGACAGGGAACTCGTAACAGTCCTCTTTGGCCTGCTGCTGAAGGAGACTAAGCCGGTGCTCCCTCTTGGACTCCCAGGCCAGGCCCATGGGTACAACAGGGGCAGATGAGGAGGAAGAAGAGGTTGGGGAGGATAGGGATAGAGTTGAAGATAAAGGAGAAGAATGAGAGCTGCTGCTGGCATTAGAGCTTAATGAGGTGGTGAGGGAGGCCTGTGAGAGGAGGAGGTCCAGCAGACTGTCTTGACTCTCTCCTCCCGAGGAGCTACAGCTCCCACTGCTCCTGCTGCTCCTGCTTTCGTAGCTGGAGTCGAGAACGTGCCGCAACGTCGGCGACGAGGACTCCGGGCTGGAGCAGAGGGAGGAACGAGGGCTGGAGGAGTCGCTGAGGTCATCCTCAGAGAGGTGAGGGGAGGAGGACAGTGTCACCCCTTGGTAAGGGTGGTGGTGGTGTTCATAGAGGCATACATAGTCAGTTACCATGGTGCCCGGCGACACACCACCATTGGCGTGGCGACAGGGTCCGTTGTAGCCAGACCCCAGCGAGCCGGTACAGTACAGGAAGGTCTCCTCACCAAGCGGCAAGTGATCCACCATTCCTGTGCGGATAAATGGCAGCTGGACTCTGAGGATCAAGCTGTTCGGCTGGAGATCTGCTGAATGTTAATGAAGAACTTCTTTCTTCTTTCTGCAAAAGACAAATGAGTGTGTTTATCACATATAACAATGGAAGAAATTAGTCTTTGAATTGTGCTGCATACCAGACAAACCTACATTGCTTTTCATCTAGTGGCACCAACTCTGATTACGCCTGGTTTTAATTAAATTTAAATTAAATCTAACTTTATAATTAACACATTTGTGCAAAACAAAAACAGCATGACAACACAGTGTAACTCTCTGCGGTCAGTCTAACATGAGGTTAATGTTTTACAAGAGAATGCCTCAAGTTTACACTGTTTAAAAATAAGTAAACCAGCAGACGGACCACAAATTATGATTATAACTCAGTCCCTACCTAACTGTTCAGGAGGTCTGCAGCTGATGGCACTTCAAAAGGGAAGTCAACCATGTGTGAAGGAAGTGGAATTTGAAGTGAGAGAGAGAGAGAGACAGAGAGAGAGAGAGAGAGAGGAGAGAGAGAGAGAGAGAGTTTGTGTGTGTGTGTGTGTGGACACTGCAGCTGCTGGTTCAGACTTCACGCTGATCGTGTAGAATCAGGGGTTCCCATTTCTCACGTCTAACATTAAAGCCACATGGTTATGCTGTCATTCGATGATGTGTTTGTTTTTATTTCCCACTAGTGGTCCTTATTACAGCTGAGTCTGACAAAATGATTGCAATGCTACTTAACTTGTGGGGACATAGTGATATACACTAATATATAAAACATAAAAACTTCCTGCAGACTATCAAGCACAGAAAGGTAATGGCAGGGTTATATTTCATCAGTCCTTCTGTCTAAAACCAGCAGATTTCAATGGGATGATGAGTGAAGGATTTAGTGTCTATTTTTATCCACCAAACAGCCCACCAACAATGCACCACGTCTACATTTACACGGATTAAAAAACGCTAGGCATTATCAAATGGCCTTAAAATGCAATGAGTGGCTTATAGTGATTAAACATGACGATAAAACCTCCTTTAAAGCCTTAAAAGCACATGTGTACAGCATGAGGCTGAAAACAAAATGATTGTGCGCCCTCTTCTGTAAAGCTGAAAAGCAGCCGTTTCCAAAGTGAGCCCCTCACAGAGGTTTCTGCTGATTTCCAGAAAATGACTTTTAATACTGAATCAGACTATCACTGCATTGACTTTGAGTTGGGCTATCACAACCACAGGACGTTAAAGGCGATGGTTCTTAAGATGTCTCACTGCTGTTGATTCCATACCGTTGGTTATGTAATTAGTGATCTAACGCCAGAATTCGACTCAGATATGGGAGCTCATGCGATAACATCATATGACATCGAGGGGCTGCTGCTGTGCCGAGGCGATACCTCATGGAAAAAAGTTTGGGAAGAGAGTTTGGGAACATCTTGGCTCGGCCAAGTGTTAAGTCATTTGCCCTACAGTAACCCTGCCGCTGTGAAACATCAAAAAGACTTTGACAACACGATGCGCTCCTGGAGCTGCATGAAGAATCAGTTAACTCGGGATTTATGGCATGTTCAACACCGCAGGCTGTGACAGCAAGTCATATAGCAGGAAATATTAGTTTGATATGATAGAGATATTAACTCAGCGTGGCCGCAGACACAATGTGAGTCCCCAGTAAGATTATTAAACGTATTTCTAACTGTGAGTGCAGCCTAAGTGTCGCTCTGAGCTTGCAGTACAGAGACCAAATGCTTCTCCATTCACTCAGTAGAGCCACGCTCCACACTGCACTCCACAAGAAGACACAGAAAACACACAGGCACAAAAAAACAAACACTTTTCGATCTATTCAATCACACCAGCGTGCCTGCTCCTCATGCACTCACCTGTTTATGCGAGGAATCCAAAACTCCGCTCCTCTGAGCCGAGCGCTCTTTTCTGGAACGTAGCTGTCAGTGCGTAATAGTGCGTAATGGCAATGTAACTCCACGACACGGTCTTTGCATAGCTCTACGCCTCCACCACTCTCTCTCTCTCTCTCCCTCACACACACACGCGCGCGCGCGCACACACACACACACAGACACACACTTTCTCCAGAGGGCCGGTAGCTCGCTTAACAGTCACATGATCGGAGCTGGGTATGCTATAGCAGTCAAATTAGGGGGTCGGCTCTTGAAGGCTCGCCTGCTCGGCGCGCCGCAATTGGTTCCCGGTAGAGAGGCAGGCCGGCCTCAGGGTCTGGCGTCAGTGAAGAAAGGGAGTGTGAGTGAGTGAGTGAGTGAGGCCAGATCATAAAATCACTTTCATACTCCAACTATAACTAAAGAGGACTTAGATTGGTCATGTAGGGTTTTTTTTACATTGTATTCTTTACTCTTTATTTACATTTTGCTTCTTGCATAACATGCCCATCAGAGCTTCCAGTGAGTGTGTTATATGGGTGACTCACTGTAATGCCCCTGTGATATAATGTTTTCTATAATTTATTAATTTATTAATAAATCATTTTTCATATATTACCATAGAGACTAACTGTCTTTTGAGACTCGTGGTAATTTGTATGGACTTGTATACACTATGATATTCAAGATGCTAAGATACAAAAACCTGGAGAAAACCCGGGGGCATAAATAACAGCATTTTACTTAACAAGAGTCCTGTCCATGACCGTGGCTGAATAGATGGCTGAGTGAGTGACTGAGGGAGCCATTGAGTAGGTATGTGAGTGTGTTTACATGCTTCCTAATAACATCAGTAATAGAAGTTTTGCTTTCACTCCAGCTGAGCAGACCTCGTATAAACACCTCCGCTGGGCTGCAGTCACTTCACTGGCTCCAACCTAATTTGATTTGCCTGCCTAGGTTAGATTACCTTTCAGTGTGTTTGGATAAATGATCCACTTTCAGCCTGCTTGTAAACACTAGGAGTGTTTCACTGTGTACTTGTATACAGTTGAGAGTCAGTGGTTATTATGCTAAAAGGACACACAATGACACACTGAGGAGGTCTGTTTGGCATATAGCACTCACACTGAATACTACTGCTGCTACTGATACTGCTGTTGTTACTGATCATGCTGCTACTCCTCCTCCTCCTGCTACTACTACTACTAACTACTGCTATCACAACAACCCTGACATTAGGCTAAAATTACTACTTATACTGGTACTACTACAAATACTACTATTACAGCTACTACAAATGCAGTTACTACTAGTAATGAACTACCAGTACGACTACTACTGCTTCTGCTACTAAGGCTACTAATGTTACTACCAATATTACTACTAATAATGCTACAACCACTGCTGCTGCCACTACTGTTACTGCGACTACTACCACAACTATTAGGCTATAAAAATGAATTTGTCTTACTACAAGTCTTACTATCAGCCTGCTACTACAACTGCAGTTCCTTCTACAGGTGCTAATGCTACCAATAATACTTTTACTGCTACTGTACTACTACAAGTACTATATGATACATAACTAAAGATACAGAGACTGTACGTGTGAACTACTACTTCTCTGAATAGGCTTTTTTCACAGAAGACATTGACATTAGGAAACGCTGCTTCGTTTTCGGCATTCTGGTATCGATCATGCTAACTCAGGGTCAACCACTTCTGTCCTGGAAGGCATTTCTAAGGCGCGTTTCTGCAGGGACTTTCCCGGGTAACTTTTGGAGGAACTTGTGGTTGTTCCACCACAGGGAACAGGGTCTAAATTAGATTACGGTGACCTGATTTTAATGACAAAGTCCAGTTTCCATTGTTGTATAGTTGTGTGCAAAAGTGACATGTAAAAACAGCCAATGGTCTTTTATATGTCAGTGGTTTTAAGTAACTAATCTTTGCAGGTCTTTAAACCCGGTGGAAATGTCAGAAATTGTTAGACAAAGCCACCCCTAATCCGATGTCAGAAAGATGTCAGGGGAGTGGGTTTCTGTAGTATTTAATTTTTTGAAAAGCAGGTCTGACGAAGCATACAGATGCCTTCACTGTCACACTGTCATGGCTTACTGGCACACTTTAACAGAACAACCATTTTTAATGTTATTAGTCACACCAGTGGTTTTCCTACTTTGATGAATCAAAATGTCTGCTGTGAAAAAGGCCCCGACTTGCATGATTCCTACCACTGCAGCTACACGCAGCAAATAACTAATGTGATTTTGTCAGTGATAACTTTCCCCGCAAACGTAATGGACCATGGCTCATTTACCAAAGTTTCAGCCTCTCTCAGTTGATGCTGACCTAAAGTCAGACAGGGGTCCTGTAAGGTTGTTGGTGACGAAGTGCTTAAAGAGAAGCAGGGTAGCTGCTGTTTAAACACTTCTGTTTCCCCACACAGATTACATCTTTGCTCATATCAATAGACAGCTTGTTGAATATATTAGGAAGTCCTCGTATCTTGTTAGGCTAAGCTCTACAGGGGTTGTCTCCTTGGCCAAATTTGAGTTCCCAAGATATATATTTTAAGTCTAATTTGATGTTATATTTGAGGAATAACTGGGCTCAAAGTGATTACTCACTAACAGAGTCTTATGAAGCCCACAGAGGTTCTTTTCTCTGCCCCGCAAACTAATTGGTTTCGGCTGCTCTATTGAAACTCACAAACACCTACACATATGCATATTATGTAAGCCCCAGATGGACCTAATGAATCAAATTGATTTATTTCCTCTGGTAATGCCTGCAATGTGCCAAAAGTGAAATAGGGAAAATGTGTGCTTTCTGGGATTCATTTTTCAAGGTTGTAACAATTACAGACGATACACTTAACAAAGCTGGCCCTCTCACCAAAAAGGGAAAATAGGGTACTTTCTAGACAATATACGTTTGGTTATCAAGAATACAGAAGCCAGAATAGAATAATAACATACGCATATTTTGAAATGTTTGTGATTTTGGTGATAATGGCATGGTTGAGTCTTTGCTGTGATATCTGTATGGAAATTATAGATTGCACACAGTTTTGTTTACCTCTTC